CAACCCACCCCCACCACACCAAAGAGCAAAACAGCCCTAACTGCCCTGTCCACCTGCCCCCACCCCCACCACACACCAAAGAGCAAAACAGCCCTCCAGAAAGCAAAACAGCCCTCACTGCCGCAGCCTGCCCTGCCCTGCCCTGCCCTGCCCTGCCCTGCCCTGCCCTGCCCTGCCCTGCCCTGCCCTTCCCTGCCGCCCTGCCACCCCCACCCCCACCACACCAGAGAGCAAAACAGCCCTAACTCGCAGTTAGGTTTTTTCCCTCCCAACCCTGCCCTCCTCCCCTGCCCTGCCCTGCCGTCCACCTGCCCAACCCCACCAAACCTCCCAACCAAACGAGCAAAACAGCCCTAACTGCCGCAGTTAGGGCTGTTTTTCTTTTTTGGTGTGGTGGGGGTGGGTTGGTAGTGAGCGCAGAGGGTTGGGAGGGAAAAAACCTAACTGCGGCAGTTGGGGCTGTTTTGCTCTTTGGTGTGGTGGGGGTGGGCTGGAAGGGAAAAAACCTAACTGCCGCAGTTAGGTTTTTCCCCCCAACCCCCTGCTTCCCCTGCCTTTCTGCCCCTACCCTGCCCTGACTGGCGTGGGCGGCCATAGCTCAGTGGAAAAGCAAACGGGCTCAGGAGCCTGTGCGGAAGAGTCTGCGGGCTCGATTCCCAGGGGTGTCTTTGGGCAGTTTCCCAGCAAAAATCGAGATTTTTGGGTGACTAAGGGAAATCGGGCAGGTTTCGAGCCCTAACTGCCGCAGATAGGTTTTTTCCCTCCCAACCCTCTGCCCTCCCTACCAACCCACCCCAGAAAGCAAAACAGCCCTAACTTCCGCAGTTAGTTTTTTTTCCCTCCCAACCCCCTGCCTTCCCTGCCCTCCTCCCCTGCCCTGCCCTGCCCTGCCCTGCCCTGCCGCCACCACACCAAAGAACAAAACAGCCCTAAATGCCGCAGTTAGGTTTTTTTCCCTCCTATCCCCCTGCCTCCCCTGCCCTTGTGCCCCTACCCTGCCCTGACTGGGGTTGGCGGCCATAGCTCAGTGGAAAAGCAAATACGCTCAGGAGCCTGTGCGGGAAAGTCTGCGGGCTCGAATCCTCAGGGTGTCTTTGGGCAGTTTCTCCAGCAAGAATCGAGATTTTTGGGTGACAGAGGGCAATCGGGCAGGTTTCGGGATTCGCGGTTCCCAGTCCGGAATCGAGACTTTTGACTGACCAAGGGCGATCGGGCAGGTTCCCCATCCGGAATCAGGATTGTTGACTGACCAAGGGCAATCGAGCAGGTTTCTGAATCGAGATTTTTGACTGACCAATGCAGATTGTAGTACAAGTTTGGTGCTGGCTGTGCCTCATTTCTGATGCTGGCTGGAGTGTGCTTGATTGTAGTACAAGTTTAGTACTGGCTGTGCCTCGTTTCGGATGCTGGCTGAATCGATTA